AGATGAAAGCAGAAGTCTTTCGAGTTAGATTAATTGCAGACAAGAAAGACTTTGAGACAAAGTAATCAAAGGGGCAAAATGATACATTTATATTGAGGAAGGAGACAATTCATCTGGAAAACAAAATTATTTTCAGTATACATGCAACCACTCACGGAGCTTCAAAATACATGAAGCAAAAACTGAAAGAACTAAAAGGAGAAAGAGGAAAAAATCTACAATCCTAAACATCTTTAACATTCATTTCTCAATAATGAATAGGACAAATAGAAGTGTCAATGAGGTTATAGAAGATGTGTTAATAGTGTTGGAAGAACCACTTTGAAATTTATAAAACAATACAGATGCTTTGCAAGAACATATGAAACATTTAAGATAAACCATATGTTGATTCATAAAACTGGTCTCAGTAAATTCCAAAGGATTGGAATCAAACAAAATAGTTTTCTAGCCACAACTGATATGATTTAGAAAGCAATAACAATAAGGTAACAAGAGAACCCCAATTAGTTTAAAATTAAGTAACAAACATATAAATAATCCATAAAGAATAATTTCAGAGAAAAATGGAAAATATTTCTATTTGAATAATGGAAACAACATGGTATAAATCTTGGGCTGCAGCAGAAGCATTATTTAGGGTAGGCTTTATAGTGTAAATATTCATATTCAAATGAAAGAAAGGTTTGAAATCAATAATCTTGTCTCTACCATAAATAATTTTTAAGAGAATATGTGAAACACAAAGTGTTTCATATCACATATCACAAAAAGCAAACAATAGTGAAAACCAAGAAGCCACAATTTTCTCTTTTGAAATAAGTAATAATATCAACCAGTGCCCAGATAGAGTGATCAAGGAAAAAAGACAAAATACAAATTATTAATATCAGCAATAAAAGAAATGTTAGCTCTACACAATCTCTAGACAGTAAATAAAGAATAAGGAGTATCATAGACAACTTTATACCAATAAATTTGATAATAATTTAAGTGCAATTTTCACTTCTATAAATTCTATTTCCCTTGAAAAAACAGAATTTACCCAAACTAACACAAGAAGAAATAGAAAAATCTGAATACTCCTTTATCTCTAACAAATTTGGATTTGTAACAACAAACCTTCCCACAAAGAAAAGTCTAGGACCAAATGGCTTCACTGGTGAATTCTAATAAACATGTAAAGGATAAATATTAATATTATACAAACTCTTTGGAAAATAGATGAGGAGGAAATGCTTCCCAACTCATCGTACACACACTTCACTTCTATTCAACTTTCTCCCAAAAGTTTTATGCACAACAAAGTTAAACAAAATTTTGTAGGAGGCCATTGACTTGGCTGAGGTTCCCGCACTAATCCTAACAGACTAAGTCAATATAGAGTTTAACTACAGTAGCCACCCTTTCATTCACTGTAGGATACGCTGTAACTAATTGACCAATTAAGCTGTAACCAATTATGTTAGCTTACACTACACTTCCCTTTCCCATAAATGTATTCAGTTTATATTATTGGCTGGCAGTCTCTGAACCTGCTCTCGTTAAGAGGGCTGACTGATTAGAATTGTTTTGCTCTGTTTTGTTTTGCTTTTCTCAAATAAACTCAGTTGAACTTGAACTTGTCTTTTTTTTTTTTTTCCATTTAACAGTAATAAGCCAAGAAAGTAAAACAAAAGGTATTATAAAAATTAGATTAGGGGAAATCAAACTGTCTTTATTCCCAGATGACATACTCATGTACAAAATAACTTTTTGCAAAAATTTTAGAATTGTGATGAGAATTTTAAAATTGTGATCAGTATTTCTGGGTACAACTTTAAATTTTCAAAAGTATATCATTTGCTAGTAAAAAGAATAAAAGTGACATTTAGAAAATATCAATGGTAATACCATCAAAAAACAAAATGCCTAGAAATAAATTTAGCAAAATGTGTGCCAAACCTCTGTCCTACATACTGAAAATGTAGAGAGAAACTCGTGGTGATGATCCAATTGAAGGGAGGAATATGCCATGTTTCAGGATTAGAAAACTCAATATTATTAAAATTCTATTTTTCCTATATTTATACAGTAAATTATACTGTAACCAAAATCCCACTAGATTTATTTCTAGAAATTTACATTATACCCTTACAATTTATGTGGGAAAATTCAAGAACCAAGAGGAGCCAGATCTAACCAAAATAATAATAATAATAATTTGGATTAAAATTCAACAGTATTCTCGGTTAGTGGTTTCTAAGAACTTATAAATGCTCCAAATTCATAAAAATATTTTCTGTATTCTTCTAGAAGGTTTTAACTTTTATATTTATGCCTATAACATATCTCAAATTAATATTTAGATGCGACATAAGATATGATTTGTGGCTCATTAAATTTCCACTTACATATCCAATAGTTCCAGTATGGTTTGTTGAAAAGACTGGGTGTTTCCTATTAAAAGTGAATGCACTTGTGAGGAGTTCTCAATACTTACATTTGCAAAGGACTTTAATCTTGAATATATAAAGAACTCAAACAATTCAATATATTTTTTTAAAAAAATCACCATCCCAATAAAAATGGTCAAAAGACTCAAATATTTCAAAAAAGAAAATATATAAATGGCCAATAAGCATATAAATATGTTTAGCTCCATCATTTACCAAGGGAATGCAAATTAAAAGCATAATGAGATACCACTGCACCCACTAGAATTCTTTCTTAAATATATATCAGAAATAATTTCCACATCCAAAAACTGTAATATATCTTAAAATTGATGCTTCCTTATAACTAAAATTGACATTTAAAAAGAATTTCTTAGTGGCACATAAAGTAAGTTTGTATATTTTACTAAGTGTCATCTTAGACTTGTTGGAATATGGCTTCATTATAAAACATTCTTTCCTTACTTTTCCTTTTTCCAGATCACACTGTCCCATTGAGTGTCTCACAACATCAAATAGAATGTAGAGTCTTCAGTTCACAGTTCTGCCTCCCTTATTCTTATCAGCTCTCTGACAACCAGCCCATGTGTCTTAACATGACAGAATGTTCTAACTCATTATTTTATTAATCACATTATAATCCCAGTTTCAGAATGGTTGGACATGTCTTAAAAGCAAAAAGAAATTTAATTGCATATTCTAAAGCAACGAAAAGAGTATAACTGGATTGTTTGCAATACAAAGGATAAATGCCTGAGGGGATGGATATCCCCTTTTACATGATGTGATTATTATGCATTGCATACTTGTATCAAAACATCTCATGTACCCCATAAATACATACAGCTACTATGAACCCACAAAATAAAAAAGGAAAAATAATTATTACAAAGATTAACACAGAAAAAGTAATTTGGAAAAACAATGAATGACAAAGGCATTGATCAATTATCCATTGATTCTGCGAATTCAGCATTCAATATGCCTTCCTTAAGAAATTGTAAATCCCTAAGTATCAATGGCTGCTCAAGAGGACTTTTTAAATGACTGGTCGCAATTAATAAGTCTCTTTTCAATCCCATTTCACATAAAAGAGTGGGTGGAAGCCCTGCCAGTTTGTACATTTCCGTAGTGTGCGTATCAAAAACCCTTCACACCTTCAGAAATGCTGACAGACACCCATCTCGTTTTCTTTTTTATAGATTCCTCCTCTCTCCACCTCCTTCCTTCTATGCTTCTGTAATTGATTCATCATTTCAGTGTCCAGCTGAAGGGCTATAAACTAATGAAAGGTAAGCTTAAAATAATTAGTTAAAACCTAAACATATTCCTGTTGACAACGTAACTAAGCTTCAAGTACTCTCTCTTATACAAGTGTAAGCAAAATATTCCACCCAGAATTAAATTTATGAATAGTGTAGGATAAAGTGACTAATTAGCAGTATAATGGAGAGGGGGTCGGGGACGCTTGTGGACCTCTGTTCACATAGTTAAGATTCTGGAAGTCACAAGAGAGAGTATGTTCCTCAGACATAAACACATACAATATATTCGAAAACACATGAAGAATAAAACTACTTAAAAATCTGTTGTATGTCAAAGAAAATGTACAAACCTGGACTCATAGCATGAAATCATTGCTTTTGTCTTACTGAATTTTGTGCTTCCTAGGAACTTTTCATAAGAGATATCATTTAATTGACGTTCCTTTAAGTCCACTCTATCCTATGTAAATTTGACTCTTCTCTAAATTATAGAGTGGACCAGCAGGAATATAAGTTTATATACCCTCAGAAAATGGCTTGCAAAAGGAGAAAAACCTGTTTGTCCATAGAACATGAATTTTCCAGGCTTCACTGACATGTAGAAATAAGCAAGATCACATATGTGTTCTAAAAACATGTAAACTCTATAGTGATTTCTGGGAGCTATACATTCATCTAGGTATTTTACAACTGTTTAATCCTATGAGATAGGTATTTCTCTTATCCATATTTTACCAGTGAGAAAACTGATCTATGAAAGATAGAATTGATTTCTGGCTGGATGAGAAAAGTTTTAACCTTTTTCTCTAGGGTACATGGACATCTGGCTTTGAGTCTTGGCCAAGGTAGGGGTAGCAGGCTTTGTGATGTTTTATTTAAAATCAGAAACTTGAGTTGCAATTTCTAAAGCTAGTTTTTCCCTGGTGCTTTGCAGCTGGCCAAATGAGTTCAGCTGGCTTGGCTTAAAACCCCAGTAGGAACTTCTACTTTGAGCTCTCCCAAAGGCAAGATTCTACAGACAGATCTTGGTGATTTAACCTGGGGAGAGGGCAGTGGGAGCTTGTTCCTGGATGTCTCTTGGACCTCAGTGCTTGCCTGCACTCTCTCTTACTGCATTATATCATTTGCCTTTAAGTAAAAGCTTTATAGAAATATGACCTGTGAGTCCTTTCAAATATCTGATCTTGGGGAATCTTTACATGAAGCACAAAAGTTAGTAACAGACCCAATTTGACAGGTTAGTTAATGATAGAACTAGGTTTCGAACTTAAGCAATCTGTTTCCAGAATCTCTGGTTTCCACAGCAACTGGCACAATGCTATGCCACTTGTCACTAACATTAGCTACCCACATTAAAGTAGAATAAGGACCTTGGTGGACTTCCACCTCTGCTGTTTCTCATGTGTTCACAAATACTAGGGAGCCCTTAGAAGCGTTTCATCTAAGCTTGGAGTTTATCCTCTAAGTTTCTTCTGTATCAGTCTCTTTATCAGTGTCACGGAGGTTGACAGAGTTCTAAAGATTTCTCAATTCCCTGGTCCGCAAGACCTGCATGATCTCTTGGCTGAATATAATGTCTTTCCCTGTGATGAGGCTACATTATACGTATGGCATGGTTGACTTCAACATTGGGAGGTGATCCAGATGGGCCTGACTTAATCAGGTAAGCCTTAGAAACAGAGTTTTTACAGATGGTGGCAGTAGGGGTCTCAAAGACAGACAAGGCCACAAGAAGAGAAAAACTTTGGACCCTTATTGGTCTGTAGACTTTTCAGAGAAAACTACACTAATACGCTTTACTAACTTGCCTTTATCTGCCATTTATCTGCCTTCTTCCAAGTTGCTACCACTAGAGACTCAAAATTATTTTGTCTTATTTCTCTACAAAGTTACTATTTTTTCATTGAAGATGCTGAATAAATTAAAAATTAAAGGCCACCTCTTAGAGAACTACGCATTTCCTTGGTGTCTCCCATATATAGGTGAAATAGACATGTTCATAAACTTCTGTTTGTTTTTCTCTTGCTAATCTATCTTTTGTTACAGGGGTCCATTCCCACTAACCACCTATGGGGGTTATTGCTCTTCTATACCCTCCTGGACTTCTCATCTGCAGAATTGTGAGATAGTAAATAAGTGTTTTGTTAAACTGCTAAGGGTGTGGTGACTTATGTAACACAGAAAACTCCTGCAGTCTCTAAGCCATAGTCACTTGAAGGAGAACTTCCTCCCTGAGAATGCTATTGTGTGCTCACTATGACATCTCTTGGAGCTGCACAGCTGCAGAGCGCCCAAAGCGGTAAACCAGGCTGGCTTCCTACAGTCATCCCTAGGGCAGAGTCTCACTGGACTCTTCACAGAAATGAGAAATGGGAGAACCTTCTCATCACAAGTCTATGAATCCCTCTGTCACCAGGGCCTGAGAAGTACTGTCTATGCCAAGCATCAGCCAGGCTCCTAGGGAAAGCAGCCCTGGCAACTTTAACTTTTAGCTCTCTCATTCCACAAGGCTCAGACCTTAGTCCCAAGCCTGGCTGAAGACTTGAGAACCTATCGTCTTCTACTTCCTCTTCTCTCCTCTCTCTCACCTGGCCATAGCCTCACAGCCAGAGACACAGTCCCTAGAAGGTTATGGAACTATCTGAGTGAGACAGTGTTATGAACTACATGTTTGTACTCATCCAAAATGTATATGTTGAATTCCTAATCTCCAGTGTGATGACATTTGGAGGTGGGCCCTTATGTTTCCATGAGGTTTTAAGGGTAGAGCCCCATGGTGGGATAAGTGCCCTTAACTAGAAGAGGCCAGAGCTTTTTCTCTGTCTGCCATGAGAAGATATAGCAACAAATCATTTGCCAACCAAGAGGAAGACCCTCACCAGGAACCAAACTAACCAGTATCTTGATCTTAGACTTCCCAGCTTCCAGAACTCTGAGAAATAAACATATGTCATTGAAGTCACCCATTCTATGGTATTCTATTACAGCAGCTGAACTAAGACAGAGAATCTCTCTCTCAAGGATCAGAAAAAAGAAGTATCAGATACTATGCTTAGTACCTGGGTGATGAAATGGTCTGTACACCAAACCCACATGACAGGAGCTTACCTATAATAACAAATCTGCACGTGCACCCTTGAACCTAAAGTAAAAGTTTTTTAATAAAAGAAAAGGAAAAAAAAAAAACATTCTGTAAGCCTTGGGCACTGTGTTTTCTATGCCTATTGGGTAAGTGAGCTCTGATTTCTGAGTGTTGGGATTAACTGCTTTTTATGCCCTTTTTCCCTATCTGCAGTTTCTAAATTTTCAATACCTAAGATTTATTCTTTTGTTATAATGAAAAGCTATTTGAACAAGGAAATTGGTAAGCATAAACACAATGCCTAGTTTACGCAATGCCAACACACAAAATTGAGAGCAAATGCAGCCTCCAGGGTCAACACTCTATGGCAACTTTAAAGTTTCTCATTGGGTACAGTGCTGTATCCATGTCACTGCCAGCTAGACTATCAGATGACTTCCTGCTATAACCAACCAGCAAGACAAAACATCTGGTTTACAGAACAAAGCAACTCTCTGGCTTACCAGAAAGAATAGGTCCATGTCCAATTCTTCACATACAAAGATGACACCCCCAACCCACACTGGTGGATGTGCACTGGGACCTCAAATACTTTCCACACTCTCTGTCTAGGAGGGCCCAGCCTTTAGAACCATACAAACAAGTAAAACTCAACATAAAATAATTCCACACTATCCTAGTACTATAGATTTACAGTAAGTCTTGATTCTTCTGATGTACATTTTCCAGCTTTTTCTTCTTCAAGATTGCCCCTTCGTATTTCCATGCATTTTGGAAATCAGCCTGTCAGTTTCTAAAATAAGTAAATAAATAATGCTAGTACTTTGAAAAGAATTGCATTGAATCTGAAGATTACTTTGGAGAGAACTGACATCTTTTCAAGTCTTAAGTCTTCCAATCCATGAATGTGGTCTAGCCCTTGATTTATTTAGATTTTAATCTATTTCAATAATAATATGCCATTTTCCATGAAGAGGTCTTACATGTTTTATTAGATTTATTGCTAGATATATACTGATTTTAAGCTGTTGTAATTGGCAAACATTAAATACAATAATTGAGGGAAATAAAAGAACCTCACTTTTTCCCCCTCAGGCTGCTGAAGGAATCAGATGAAGGAGAGGAGAGTCAACTACCAACTTGAGAAAACCCTGCCTGAGAATAAAGTGACCATGAGAAAAGGGAGAAAGAAGAACAGGGACCTGACAGCATGCTTATTTAGATCCCTGGACCCAATCATCTAGACAAGAGCCAATACATTTTCTTTGCTCAATTCTCTTTGAGTTGGGTTTTTGTCATGTACACTGAGAAAGTTCTGACCAAAAAGCATGGTTCCTTTGTATAGATTTTCTGCTGGCCTCCTTATCCAATCTCAGCTTCCCTTCAGTCATAACTGCCTTCCCTTAAGTGCCCCCATCCCATTTTGACTTTCTGAAAGTGTTGGTTCACTAATGGGACATTATTTTTAGCATCTCATGCAAGTCCTAATGGGACATTATTTTTAGCATCTCACGCAAGTCCCTACCGACTGCTTACTTTATGGCTGACAGAGCGTTTTTGCTTTTTTTTCCTTACTATATATTTTTGTAATGCTCAGCAGTCATTCATATATAATCTCTCCATTATCCCAGACAAATATCAAGCAGATAAAAGTTTCCCAATGCCTTTAATTAAACTTCATGAACTACTTTTTAAAGCACTTTAACCACCCACCACAGTCAAATATTTTATGATCTTGCTGGGGCAAGAAGTGCAAGAGAAAGGAAGATGTAGAGGTGTCGTAAACAAACAATTGCCCATGGCACTCGATTTGGGAGATGAGACTGTCAAGGGAGAAATAGTACATATAAAAGTAAAAAACGATCCTGATATTGGTGCAAGAGTATTTGTGTTGAACTTATATTGGAGATTTGGAAAAGTTCTATGAAAGGCCTTAAATGGGGGAAGAAATGCCACCATGTCCAAGAAGTTAACTCTGCAGATGTGCTTTTTGCATTAAAAGAGAATTCCTGCACATTGGGTGACTCTGAGAAAGTTGCTAAAGAATCCTAATTTACTATTCATACCATTGAAGCAAAGTCGAAAGTACACTATAGGTGTGCGTTACTATTATAAAACTCAAGATAGAATGTAATAGGGATAATTATCATCTCCCCATCTTCATTTATTGGACACTTAATAAGTGACAGACATGGGGACAAACACTTTACATTTAAATCACACACAAATATGAGAGAGTGGGTATATTAATAACCTCATTTTACAAGTTTCACAGCAACATTAGTGCAAGTTAAGGCACTAATCACACAGTTAGCTAGTCTGTGCCTAAATCATTTAACCTAAGTTTCTGACTCTGCAAACCTTTTGGGGAGAGGAGATCCTTTCACATTTAAAATGTATAGATGCAATACAGCTGTTTCCTGACTCAAACGCTTCCCTTCTACACATACCTGCATACATACTCACAAACACATACGCACACACATACTTGCAGATCCACACACACGAATGTGCTCACACAGACTTTCCTGCCACCAGGGCTCTAATCTTCATCTTTTGTGTTCTAAGAAAGTGACCCCAGCCAGAACTTCAAGAATAAGCATTAGTTCATTTGAACCAATCATGGCAATTTTATCCCCCTTCCTTGATTGGCTTGAGAAGTAGTCTATGACTCAACTCTGTTAAATGAGATACAGTGAAAATCCACTGGCAGACCTTCTTGGAAATGTTTCTTAGCTCTTAAAAAAGAGAAAGAGAGATGCAAGGGAGAAGCAGGCCTTTCTGCTTCTGAACAATGATGTTTGTTCAAGAGCTACTATAGCCATTGTGTGACCATGAGGGAAGTGAGATGGCATGCCAAGGATGACACAGCAGAAAGTCAGAAAGGAGCTGGCTTCTTGAGAGCCACCACTGAGCCTCTGAGCCAGACAAGCTTGGGATTCATTGTTTGAAAAATAAATTTATGTATTCATTGTAAATTGGGTCTGGTGTGGCTTATAGTCGGAGACTTCTAAAGACACTCCCGATATCTCATCGCATCATTGTGAGAACTCCAGTACATTAAATATTCATTGATTTACATTCTTTGCCTCCTTCTCACTTTTGACTATTTCTAGCCTGTAGGTCCCATTAGCTTGTTATTCACTAAAATCATTTTTTCACCTAAAAAAATACTAAAAGAGCACGACAGTCTCAACGAACCTGATGAGATTTTTGTTTTCTTGTTTTGAGACAGAGTCTCACTCTGTCGCCCAGGCTGGAGTGCAGTGGTGCCATCTTGGCTCACTGCAGCCTCCGCCTTCCAGGTTCAAGCAATTCTCTTGCCTCAGACTCTCAAGTAGCTGGGATTACAGGCATGCACTGCCATGCCCAGCTAACTTTTGTATTTTTAGTAGAGACAGGGCTTCACCACGTTGGCCAGGCCAGTCTCGAACTCCTGACCTCAAGTGATCCACCTGCCGTGGCCTCCCAAAGTGTTGGAATTACAGGCATGAGCCACCACACCCGGCTGAGATTTTATTACATAAGATGGCAGCACCCATCTTGCTGGATTCCTTCCTTCCCATTCTGGCCTTGAGAAAGCATACAACCATGGCAGAGAATCCCATATGACAAGGAACTATGAGAGGCCTCGAGGTGCTCACAGTGACCTCCAGATGACAACCAACAAGAAACTGAAACTCAGTATTATATATGCAAGGAAATGAATTCTGCCAACTGTGTGAAATTAGACGTGGACCCTTCCACAGTTGAGATTCCAGATGAGTCCACAGCTCCACAGACACCTCTATTGCAACCTTACCGAGGATCCAATTAAGTTGTACTAGAACTGCTGACCCGTGGAAACTATGGGGTGATAAATATGTATGATTTTTATTTTATTATGAGTATTATTATTATTATTTAGGGCGGGGGGGGATGAAGTCTCACTCTGTTACCCAAACCAGAGTGCAGTGGTGCACTCTCAGTTCACTACAACCTCTGCCTCCCAGGCTCAAGCAATTCTCCTGCCTCAGCCTCCTGAGTAGCTGAGACTACAGGCACATACCACCATACCTGGCTAATTTTTGTATTTTTGGTAGAGACAGGGTTTCACCATGGTGGCCAGGTAGGTCTCAAACTCCTGACCTCAAGTGATCCACCAGCCTCAGCCTCCCAAAACGCTGGGATTACAGATGTGAGCCACCATGCCCAGCCTATATGTATGATTTTAAACCACTGTGTAGCTTGTTATGCTGGTCTCAAACTCCTGACCTTAAGTGATCCACCACCCTCAGCCTCCCAAAGTGCTGGGATTACCATGCCAAGCTTATATGTATGATTTTAAACCACTCAGCTTGCGGTAGCTTGTTATGCTGTAACAGAAAATAAACACACATTCCAGTACTTTCACAATCTTGAAAGCCAGCATCTCCTTACATGTTGTGCTCTTGGCATCCCACTCTAGTTCCCACCTTAAGATAACACTCTTTTTTTTAGCTATAGCGTTTGGGAGGGGGATTTGACAAGAGCTGAGTTATATCTTATTCTGTTCAATTATGCTGGTCCTATTGTTTTATCCCTATATAAAGCATTAAACACAGAATGATTGTGAGCATTTACTACTTAGTAACTTCATTAAGCTATTAATTACCCTTTCTAGTAAGCACAAGTTTCTTTAAAATGCCAGTAATTCCTGGGTTTTGTCTATCGTGATTTTCACAATCCTCTCATTTATACAGCCGAAGAAAGTACCAATTCTTTATTTCTTGCCGTCTCTCTCAGTTCATATAGAAAACTGGTGCTCAGATAAAGAATTCAATAGTGACCATGGTGCAGCCTTCAACAGTCAGGATTTCCAAGCTCTTTTTTTTTATGTTAAAAATTTCAGAAGATCTGTAATCAGAGAAACTCAAGTTTAATTCCAGCCGCTCTGTAACTCACAAGGTCCGTGACTTTAGAAAATTATTTTCTCCTCTGGTCACTTATCTGAAAAATTGGGAGATTTATAATACCTACCACATAGATATATTTTCATGAAATAATGCCAGTAAGGTTCTTAGCACAATATTTGGCATGGAATATTCATGTCAAATAAATAAGTACTATAATAGAAAACATTTCATAAAAATCAACTATGTTTTAGGCATTGAGCTAAAAGCTTTACTTACACGTTACTCCATTGAACTTCCACTACAAAAGCATATACCCATTTTATAGATAGAGCCATCAGTCCCCAGAGAGAGCAAGTAACTTGCCCAGTATTCCCCAGATCATGAGTGATTCAAACAGAAGCAGTTCAATACTAGAGCCAACTCTTACCAAACACACCACGGCCCCCCTCCCCTCTCTTCCTGCCCACTGCTAACTTTGCTTCTTGGTAAAGATTTTATTTTCCTGCACTTTTTTTTTTCCCCTGAGAGAATGGGCCTATCTACCAACAGTAGCTGCCCTGTATTATCAGGCTATGATGCAAGCAAGAAATGTCTCAGGTTGTGTTTTCGGATCGTGCTTTGTTATAAGTAACACCCATCTTTCGTCTTTTTCCTTCCTTTTCTTTTTAAAGGGAGAGACTTGGGCTTCTTCCCAATTCTAGCCCTATTCATGTCATCTGACACATTCTTTAAAACAAAAGTCACAAAATATGTGCTCCTGAAGTCACTGGGTGCTTCTGTTGAAAGATGGTCACCTTTACTCCTGACAAATGATTGTACTTCCTTAAGGAGACTGTCCTCTCCTTTCTCCACCCACCACCACCGGCTCTAATTCAGGACTAACACTGATGCAAAGGAGAAGATGAATCCTACCAATATCATCCTATCCTATAATGATCTGCATTTGAATAAACAGAAACATCTAAGTGAATTTTGAAGAACAAAAATATGCGAACACTGAAGTCAGAAACACTAAAATATAACGATTATAAATGGGAGTAGGAAGAGGGTATCGTCCAGATGAACATATGTTAGTCATTAGTTTCACATACATCAGAAATACTCCTTTTGACTGCTCTGGCCCACCGAGGTAAAAAATTGATTCACCTGTTCCGCCAAGGTGCATTGTGTCTGTCCTCCATAATCCACTGGTGATCTTAATTAATGTAGCATTGCCTGTCTCAATCACAGTCTCAGTTCTATTAAAGTATTCCCTGCTCTTAGAGGATGAGAAAAACAATCTACAGGTGTTACACCAAAGAACTGCATTCATTTCTCTCTCCAACCTGTACTCAAATCAATCCAGTGGTTTCTTAATCTTGCAGGCCGAAATACTGCTCACTAGAACGAGGACACTTCATTA